ACAACCCCTTCCACTCATCCCCACTCTTGGCCTTGCTCCTCTGTGTGACACCACCCACATTGGTATAAATTTACCCACTTTGGTATACATTTTTTTTTACATTTTTCTGTGTTGCAAGGTTGTACTTTCACAAGTGGGTAAGCTACACTTAAGACTGTCGGCCTAAAAATCTTGTCCTGTGAACATGGAGTGGAAACCTTAGCTGGAAACATTGAATAAAGTACATTGTGAAAGTCGTCTAATGGATATAAATATAAATGAAGTCATGACTATTAAGGTGGCATATACCACAACAGTAATTAATGAGATGTGAAGTACAGTTTACCGTGGTTTCACAGCATCAGTTACAAAAATTGCATACTAAAACAATATGATTTAATTTCTTTCATTTAAAAAGACATGAAATAATTATTACAACAGCCACCAAGATAATGTAGCATAATGATGATTATTGCAATAACATTAATGATATCCATTTATCTGCTAATTTATTGCGTTGAAGTTGATCAGGGATTTAAGCAAAAATATAAAACACCATCTAAATGTACCTATAGTTTTTTTAGAGCTTATTGCAAATCACAACATAATTTTTTGTCAATCTGCTAGTTACAAAGTAATACAACAAAAGCCAGCTGTTGCTAGATGGTTAATTAGTTGTGATATAAGCTCTGTTATCAACCTTGTAGTCCATTCCTGAACAGAGATGCTGCTCAGAGCTTGCCGTCTGTAATTTAAAATATGAAACAACTGACTCAAACGGATGGGTGACGCTCTGAGAGTTTAGTTTAATTTAGTAACCGAAAAACGTCAATAGAGTTAACTATTTGAGTCGCCCTGATAGCTGAACGGTCTGGTGTTTCTTTCTCTTAATTTTCTCTACAGTATCTATAAAATAGAGACTGAGAATTGAGAAAAACAGACTTCTATAAATCGGTTGTTAAAACTGCAGCTATACACCTTCTGACTCAGTATCTCCTTCCAATCTAAAAAAAAAAAAACTGCAAAAGTGAATGAAACAGTGTTGAGGCTGATTGGACACATTGATTGAGCATCAGTACGTCTTTTCTCTGCTGTATACCAAGCTGTCTCTCAGTCAATAGACACAACCAAAATACACCCGGCACTCAATCCAGTGTGTTGCTACATGGGCCAATCCAGCTAATTTAACACCCACTCCATTTATGAAAAAGAGTCCTCATCGATTTCTTCCCGTGCATGTGCTCTCGTTGCCCCTGTTCGTTTTTCGCCATCCCGGCGCCTACACACGCTCAAGGTTGGCAGCACTGAATTGGATTAGTGTGTGGTAGGGTTCCTGTAAGATGGGCTTTTCAAAACCCACACCTTCAGACTTTCTCCAAGAGTAACAGAGACCACAGACTGGTAGGGCTACAGTTGCATGCTGCTGCATGAGTGCATGGTCAGATTCATAGAGAAATCCGCAACACAAACGCAGTGGGCTTCAAAATAGACACACTTTGTCTCTTGCTTTTCCACCTCATTGCCACAGAAAAGGGACACTCTTAGTCCGTTAACCATAAACTATGCTTCCTTTCTGCTAATGTACTTCCCAGTCTTAATTCTTTTCTGTTTTATTCGTTGCACTCTCTTATTACTACGTTTTGCACCCAACATCTAATCTAGAATGTAGGGTGAAAACAGCCAAAACATGACAAATAGCCCTTACAGACATAATTTAGTATTTTTGATTGCAATTATGAGTCCAGCAGTGACCGATGAAAACCATTTCCAGTGTGTTTGGTTGGCAGTGGTAAAATAGTGAATCACAGTAACTGTCATTAGAATTGTAATGGCTTTTCTGTAAGGACAAGTCTTATCAGTCGAGTGACAACTCCAGAACTGCCACTGCCAGGTAAGCAACGCTTCCTCTGAACAGGGAGAGTAGAGAACAGCGATGGGGAACAAAAAAAAGCTGCTGGGTCGGTCAAAGGGAAAAGGCCCGACAGAGACAGAGCATTTTGACATTAGAAAAAAAGAGCACAAAAGACCTCTCTTTGCCCGTGCACAAGAGATACGCAGGAGCACACTACCTCATGGGACACTACAAATATAGCCATGCGTCCAACCACCACCACATTTTTCACTGCATAACTCCACCCAAATGAGATGGAGTAGGCTGAAGCGAGCTCGGTAATCACAAACTGCAACGATACTATCAAAGACGTTTTGAGGGATTTTGTGTGCTGAAGGGAAATTAGATTTTGAAGAAAGGTCAAAAATCCACGTCTATGTACAATTCAATCTGGCAAAGGTTTGTTGTCTATTTATTACAGTTACAAATACTCATTGGTAACAACAAATCTCTATAAACCATTGGCACGGTACCTTAAACAGATCAGGATTGGCAAATTGGCATGCAGGACTGGTAGTTTTAATCGGATTTTAAATCTGTCTGGAAACCTTTCATCATCAAAAGGCACCTCTGATCTTAGGACTTTTTAAATAAAAAAAATGGAGTTGGCTTTATAAATCTTCTGTTCAGTCCTGACACACACATTTTTACACGAAGTCTACAGTGGCATTCGAAAGAGCATTTGAGGTCACTTCAGCATTCAAACTTTAAAGGCTGGGCGTAATTTGAAATACACTGATAACGACGTAGAAAATATTTCAATTACTTACATGTTATCACATTTACACCACTGTACACTTAAAATGTATGAAAAATATTTGTGTTTAGATTAAAATTATTTGCTTTACATTGTTTGCTCATTCTCACCTAAAAACTGCATTTATTATTTGATTTGTGTCACCAAACACCAATTTTTTCAAATTAATATTATGAGATATTTGGTCTCCATCTTTTTTTTTTTTCAAATCTTATGCAGAAAGAGTATTAACTATAGTGCAATCGCTTGATTAAAAGAAGAATAAACAAATATAATTAATATAACTTCGAATTTAAAAATACAGTCCGAAGTTAGAAAAGCTTAATTCCAACAACCAGAAAATACAAACCCAAACTCTGCAGCAAATATGCTGTTACAAAAGCGCATCAGTTATTTACATATTAAAGATATTTCTTCTACGCAATTCAATATTTTCTATGAAGGCTTGTACTATTCAGTACACGTCTCTATAGCTGTGGCACAAGAAAAACTTTTGCAGAATTAAAATGACACCAAAAGATGTAGTCAGATTCTTTCCCTAACACAAAAGAATCCTGTCATTTTAAGTAAATATTGATGCAATTTATGTAGTTTCTGAAAGAGTGTGGAACATCAAGTTATTTTCTGAAACTTGCATCAGTTCTGGGTTTTTCTGCATAAATTCTATTAACATATTAATTTAGTCTGCCTTGAGAAAGAGCTGCAGGGGGTACATAAATATTGCATTAAATTGTAAGTAACAAAAATGCAAAGACAAGACATTCATATTTTTATGAATACGAAAAAAGCAATATTATTCATGTTCATATAAAGATTTATAAAATGATTATTTGTGTGTGCCGTGCACATACAGTGCATGTAAACACACACACAGATATATACAAAGTATATGAGTTAACATATACAGTGAGCTAGTGCATTTACACCTAAATACTATGAAAATCAGAGTAATGTTTTTTTTGTGTGTGTGTGTGTGTGTGTGACCATTTTCTTTTAATATGGTTATCAAATCCAAGCATCAAAACAAGAGGCTATGAAAACCAACACCTAAAGACGTAAACTTATTTTTAGTGACCTATAAAGTCTGTGATGACCATTAATGACATGTTAATGTATGAATATAATTCAGCAACAGAAAACCGAGAATAATTTTTCTGATGGGTATGTGACACACAGACAAGGGGGAAATAAATCCTTCTGTCTTCCTGGGGAGTGTGTTTGGCAGTAAACCAATTCCAAGCCTGCCTTCTTGAATGTCCAGATAACGCAATCAGACAGTTGCAATATTGCTGTTTTACCACCTGAAGAATTTGAATTTCATTCAGCCCCTTCAGAATAGTGGACTTGCCAATTTTTCCCAGAAATTGGCAGGACAAACACAATGCACCCCGGTGAAATGAGGAAAAGGCTTATAGGCTGAAAATAACTGCTTTTGGGGTTTGTCGAGTATGAGTCCTCAAGTTCAATTTTATCATGATGGCACAAAAAAAAACAACCAAATGTTTAATTTCATCATCACTACAATATATGTTGTCGATGTGTTTTATTACATGCCTTAATATTAAATTGGGAATTAGTTCAGAAAGTAATATTATAATACCGCATCAGTATCCAAAACATTATGGGGTCGGATTGGATAAAAATTAGATATTATAATATGTTCGGGCATGAGCCGTCATTACACACATTCTTTAATCTGGATTTTAATTTGGAAGACCGTAGTCTTCAAATACTAAAATCTAAAGGGAGTCAGTGGATAATGATTTGAAGACATTCTGGATTATTGGTGTGGGATTGAACAGAGCAGTTCACACTTAGCTCTGATGCTTTTATTCCCCTAATGCTCAATGAGATGCTTAATTTTGTTCCTCATGAAAATAAATGGAGAGGGGAAAAAGCACAACTGCATGCGTTTCAAACTGAGCAACATTCAGTGATATCTCATTTTTAGGTAGTAGCTTACAGATAACAAATAAGCAGTTTATCACTTTTGCTGAGCGCTATTACCGACCCGCCTCTGTGTTTTGGTCAAAATGCAGCTTTTACAGGACAAACTGCCCTTTTAAATCGCAAATAAAGTAAATTCATCAGAATGTGTTTTAGTGCGGCTCCATGGTGCGTTGAGCCCACAGCAGGATCCCCACTTCAGGATTCGGCTTATTTCCAAAACCCAACACGCATTTTAAACATGGAACGGATACATCAATAAACATAAAGTCGATAACTGTCAAACCGTAAAACAATAAATGAATAATTCAGGTTGAAGACCTCGCAGACGCTGATCGGGGACCTCCGGTTTGTTCACAGTTCATAAAATTGCCGCGTTAGTATAACATGTACAGGAAATTTAAAAAAACTGCCCTTCGGTCTTACCTCGATTTCTCCGATCTCCGTCTTCTTGGCTGCTCAGAGTGTCTCATTCATTCTGGTTTGTCTCCCCAGCTGCCTCCTTCTCCCTTTCCCCCGCTCGGTTATCGCTCGTTTTCTCCTTTCTGGTGCCGTCTTCATGCGGATGCATAAGAATTAAATATTAATAGGCTGCTATCTTAAAGACAAACCGGGATATAAAAGGACAAAGTGAAGGGGGGGGGGGGCAAAAAAGATCACCAGACCAAAAAATGAGAGCCGTAAAGGAAAATCCTTAAGGACAGAAGCAACTGTCACGAAAATGCGCCCGTCTGGGCATCAAAATAAATAACGACGACACCATCGTCCTGGTAGTAGCAATGACGACCCGCGAGTGACTACGACACTGGCATTGCCCGAAACGTGAAACTACGGAGGAACATTAACTGAACAGAAGTAACGTGCAGTCCGTCCGCCACTGCTACAAGGTGTGAACTGCTACAAGGTGCGAGCAAATGTGCCCCCCCCGAAAAAAAAAAAAAAAAAACGTCTGCATGCGAGCGGAGATCAGACTCGTGAATGTCTGATGCGCACCTCTTCTTGCTTTTTTCCAAACTGTCCACTCTTCCCCCTTCCAGATCACCCGTTTACATCAGGGTACCCAGGCCATATGCGGCTGCCTTGTGCGTCCTGACGCACAGAGCTCATCACTCGTCTCTTTCCCCTCTTTTGTCAGCAGGCAGCGCACACTCTCATCAGGACCATCCACATGGTATGTTCAACCTCAGCAGGTTTATGAGGCCTATTACACTCTAGTGCCTTCGTCACAGTACTGTTGGTAGCCTAAAAAAAGATTTCAAATAAGTTTCTACTACCGAGTCTGAGGTGATGCAGCTGAGCCCCCACTGCTTGCTCACGGACAGACAAACCGCTGTCTTGGCACTGCTTGGGATCTTTTTATAGATGTCGAGTTTTTTCTTTGTTGTTGTTTTTTTTATTTTTATTTTTTTTATTTATTTTTTTTCCTGGGGGTTTTGTCAGGTTTTTTGTTGTTTTGAAGATAAGGATCAGGAACCTTGAGAGCTAATTAAAATAGCCATTATTGAGTGCCCTGCTAAATTACTTTAAATTCAGTAATGTAATAATCCAGAATGAACTGCATGTGGCATAAATCGGGGTTTGGCTGAGATGACTTGTGCAAGAGCTGAAACTCATTCATTCCAATGTGAAGACAATAGAATCCTCAGTAAATGAGTGCATGACAGGCAGCAACATGATTAATTTCTAAATTCCGAGAATTATTGGTATGCAGGCTTTGTGCATTGATTGCCTAGAAAACCAATGATTTTAAAACAGTTTGGGAGTCGGTTAATTGAAGCCATTCAGCAACAGTTGATCTCAACTCCTATGCATGTAGAATTTCAATACATTTGAACATCGTTCCCAGCACAGCAGCAGCGCTAAGCTCACGAAAATATTTCAGACTGAAGTAGTAGTACTTGGTTGCTGTCACAGGCGTATTTTTTTTTAATTTTTTATATGTATAATTTTTCTAGTTCACCTAAGTGAGGAGGCTGAAAACTCAAGATAGATTATTACACTGAGCTGAAGAAGCGTCATCAGTTAGCGCTCCAGGCAGTCGACATGCTGCTTGTGGGTTAAAGCAAAAAAATATAACAGTTTGGGTAGTCAAAACTCTTCACTGGGGCATGAATCAGCCACTCCATGGATACTGCGAGTCATGGAATGAAACACTGCAGCAATGTTGGGCTGTGTTGGAATTTCTTGCACTGGAGGTAAGTCAATAACAAAAATAAGTGGATTTTAAAAATATATATTAATGCTATTCTAGAGTAAGGGTGACTTTCCGGATCGTGACTTTGCCGATTTTTTTTTTTTAATTTGGAAAGTCACGATGATGGCCTCATGGCAATTAGGGCTGTAAACGATTATTTTAGCAATCGAGTAATCTATCAATTATTCCAACGATTAATAAAGTAGAAGAATAAATGACAAAGTGAAATATTGGTAAATGCTGACATAACAGCAGGATTAATATTGGACATCAACATCGGAGAAAATGTTCATATTTGTGTAGCTTAGAAAATTAATCTTACTTTTTAAGTTAGCCTGGACAAAAATATACAAAAATTCTATATTAAATCTAATAATAAAGCAGCAGCCTCACAAAGACACTTCTAAAAGGATGTTTACTCCAGTTTTTAAGTTTATGTATTTGTCTTCAATTTAATAGATTAACTCTGCCATCTATACCTTTTATGTCCATGCTAGCAGAACTTTTGTCGCACAAATAAGCACTTATGACAGCTATCTACCGCCACGTTGCGCTCCGTCACCCATTTGTCGCGACCGGAAAGGTATAAATTGTATTTTCCATTTCCTCCATAAAGCTACACTTACCATAAGCATACAGCAGTGTTCGGTGTATCCACTCCACCTGTATGAATACACCCGCCGCGCACTTCGCCGCCGTTTGCTCCGAACCAGCCAACAGACAGCAGCTCCGGGAGAACGGCTGTCATATTCCTTGCATAAAAAAAGGAATTAAAAAAAAAAAAAAAAAAAAAAAAA